AGGGAGTGTCCTTATTTATCAGCTTTATGCTATTATTTCTCTCCTTCCAGATGTTCTGCAGGGCATGATTGTGGAGATGGGGCAGGAGGGATGCTAAGAATGTATCTTCAGCATGGGGCTCTCTTTTGCTTTCATGCCATCAAGTGCATTATTCGATACCTGGCCTATGAGAGGTCAGTTACTGTAAAATAAAAGGGGATTAAAATAATTGTGTGAAATGTTGGCGACATACAGTAAAGCAAATGGATTTGTGTATTGTCAAATTTAACTGAAAGCCTTTCTAGTCAAATGTAGTTTTTAGACAACTAAGAACTAACAATCTGCACTTTATGTGTTGTTTTGATAATAATAAAAGAGAGTGTGGCTTTGTAAAATTGGATGCTGTACTTAGTAATGGTGAAGCCAGAGCAGATATTTAAGGAAGATGAGGTAGAAAGTTAAGGGTCGGATGCAGGTGAGAATGGGCAAAATAGTAAGCTTTGATTTAAAACACATATACAATATATATATAGAGAGACAACATATTGCTGATTAGCAAGTGAAGAAAAAGAGTGAACAAAAATGAGCTTAGAGTAATTCTTTTCTGGTTACGTTCCGATAGGCATATGATTCATACTTTGGCACACATGCTATACAATCAAGCCCTTGCTGAGATGCTGAGCCGCTGACCAGATAGCTAGCTGGGTCCATAATGGAAACAAATGAATGTTTTGGCGAGGATTGCAGGACACAACAGACAGGAAAATAAAATCCCATTACCTCTAATCCAAGCAGCATGCTGTTACCTCCCTGTTTAGAGACGGATGTAAAAGTTCACATTTCAGGTATTGTGTTGGCCCTTGTGTCCCGGTGAATGATGCCACAGTGCAGAACAGGGAGCAGCTCCTGACTTTGAACTTCCCTCCCAAGGCCAGTGGGCTGTGCCCTGCCTTGGCTCACTCCTAGTAGCCTCCCTGCCTTAATGTTGTCTAGTGACTGCAGCTCTTTCCTGCATCTGGCTTAATGTGCTTCACTGTGTCATTTATGGGAGAAATATGCTTATTTAAATAATAAACATATCTGTCTCTTATTAAGTGGGATAAAAATTAAAAGACTTAAAAAAGAATGTATAATTGGTAGTCTAAGCCAAAATGCAGCCATATTTTAACTGGCACTGATGGTTCTTTTCTATCTCTATCCTGTGGAGGAATGTAATTGTAAAACAGCCTCAGAAATTTATGATTCAGTACAAATCACACAAAGGCCAAGTAAAAATTGAGTTTTGCTTTAATCATAAAAGGCAACTATTATAGGTACATGAAAATAATGAAGCTATATTTCTTTTTTTTATAAAAGCTGACATAGTTAAGAGTATATAATTTCATGTTTCCTAACATCCCTATGAACTAACGTAAGAGACATTTTCCAGATAAATATGAATTTGCAGAAAGGATAACAAATAGCTTCTCATAGCAAAGTTTTTAGAATTTTTGAACTTGGACATCATCCTTGGCCATGGCTTCTCTGGCTGTGGACTTCAAATCCTTGTAAATGCAGAGTTCTCCAAAGAATAGATGATTGCGACAATATGACAAACATGTTCTAGTGCTCATTTTGTTCAGTATCTGATCGTTTATTTACTCATATACATGCAGTTGCTTTGCTGATATTAATAAAAAAAGCAACACATTTTAAATGCAGTTTCACAGTACTCCTGGTTCATCTGAACGGTCTCTAATCATTGACGTGGAAACCTGCAAATGGTCTGACTGGCTCCAAGTGCTGGCACAGCTCAGTTCCTTGGCTGCAGTGAGTGAATGAGTGATCCTTTCTCAGAACAACCCCACGCCTTTGATATTTAGAAGTAAAAAGATTACAGTCCAATAAGGCAGAGTGGAAACGATAATGACAGTATCAGGTGGAGACAGGCAAACATGTTTCTGAAAGAAATCTATGAGAAAGCCTGGAGTTGTTTATCTCTCCCTCATTAATCTTTTGCAACATTAGTCATTTAATTCAATTGACGGAAGAGGTTTTTGCAAAACCTGATATGTAATTATTTTGTAAAAGATCTAGGTAGCTTCTAGGAAGATGTGGGGAATCAAAAGCTTCTTATTCATTTTAATATTTAATCAGGATAAAATACCACCGTTTTAGAAAGCCTAGGCTCTTATTCATGAACTCTATAAAATTTTAAAGAGAAGCATTTGAAGCCATTGATCTTGCCATAAAGCGATCATCGTTTTCCAACCCTTCTTCTGCTAGTCTCCATCTCAGAACATGGCAGTGCCCGTCAGAGCTGCCCAGGCCTCCTCTGCACACCCAGGGCACGCCACTCAGGGCCTGCAGCGGGAATGAACCCAGTGCACATGTGGCAGCCCTGGTGAAAAGCATGACTTCATTTTTCCTGCTAGTTAGATCCAAAGTCTTGGTGGCATGGTTGACCTTACTCTTTGTCTCACTCTCCTTACTAAATTTGTGGCATGTCTTGATAGCAATTCCTTCATAGTTCATCCAGAATTCATCCTCCTGTTCTATTTTCACTTGCCACTTTAGTGTAGTCCCAGCAACCCCTCTCTTACCTGGACACACAAGATGCTGTCTTAACTCCTTTCTCTCTTACCCCTTGGCCCTGCAGTCTCGATCACACAGCAGCCTGTGGGATCTTTTTCACATGTGAGGGCACTTTTTTCCTCTGTTCAAAACCCTCTAAAATCTTCCCCATATGACGTGGAATAAAATGTAAAGTCATCGCCATAGCTTTCAGGGAACGCGTGCTCCCTGTGACCTGCCGCCACCACTCCCATCTCCTCTGACACCTTTATTTACTCCTGCTCCAGCCTTTTAATTCCGAAAAACACCAAAAGGCAATTCAGTCAAGGTTGCATGACAAATCACCTCAAAATGTATTGGTTTAAAAAAACTACCTTTCTTATGTCTCACAAGATGCCTGTGGATCAACTCAGTGGTTCCACTAATCTGGGTGGTACTCTTCCGATCTCAGTGGGGCTCACTCATGCGCCAGGTGGAGTGGGTAAGGGCTAGCGGGTCCAGGATGATCTCTGTTGGAAGGAGAGTAACTCTCCACGTCTCTCTCATATCTACAGCAGACCAGCAGGGTACATTCTCGTGGCAGGGGCAGGGGGCCCTGAAAGGAGGTGGAATGTGCAAGCACTTTTTGAGGCTCCTTTTTCCTTCATGTTTGTTGTTATCTTCTTTTGCAATATTACTGAGCCACGAGTTAAAGTGGAAGAGGATGGCCAAGTGAAAAAGTAAAAAGTGTGGATACAGGAGGACATTGATTGGAGGCCATGACTGCAATTGATCCTCCACAGATAAAAAGCACCAGGGGAGAGAGTTTGACTTCAAGACAAAGTATAAAGGAAGGCAGTGCAAGGAAGGAAATCGGTGAAGAAACAAATCAAATGAAGGATGGTAGGAAAGGGAAAGGATAAGGAAAAGTGATAGGAAAGGTGGAATGGAAAATCTGAACATAAGGGGAAGAGATGCTATACTAGGAGGTGTGCAGCAACCAAGCCATGTGCGCTGGAAAACAAACTCTGGGGAAAAAATAATATTCATAATAACAGTAAGATTTTTTAATTGCTAGCAATAAAAACTCAAGGTCTGCTTTGAGTTTGGGTGGGGGGGGGAAGACTTGACTTGGGGTGGTGAACACATAATACAATATACAGATGATGTATTATAGAATTGTATACCTGAAGCTATATAACTTTATTAACCAATGTCACCCCAATAAACTCAATACAAATTAAATAATAAAAAGAAAATGATTTGCAATAAAAAAGAAGGAAAGAAATACACTAATTATCACAGAATTATCTGGGAAAATACTTCACACCTAGCAGAAGAAAGCTGCACTCATAGATGTTGCGGGATGAAGGCAAGTGGCAAATGCCAGTAGCGAAGCTTTAATACTTATTCTAGGCAGGCATCTGTTAATAATGCTGCTTAAAAATTATGACTTTGTCCTATTAGGATATACAAAGTATAACCTGAATTTGCATTTTTTCTATGCTTATCCATCCTTTTGTCTTTTTGTCTTTAACTGTAATTTGTCTTAAATGTAAATTACATTTATAGCAGTACTCCTCCACATGGAGTATAAAACTGAGTAAACTGAGTATAATGCCCATGAAGAAAAGGGATTCATATATTGATATTGAATATAGGTTGGTAAATAACTAAATAAAGTATATCAAAGTTTAATTTAGTAAATGCACTCTTAGAAACAGAAATTGTGGTTTGTTTGTTTTTGTTGTCCAAATATCAGAATAATTTTTAATGCTGGACATACTGACATAAAATTGGAATATACCATTGTTTGAGAAAGGATTGCTTTGGTACATAAAGGGAAAATCTCATCTTCCATTTACATGTTTGAAAATAATTTCAGAAACATTAAAATTTTCTCTTAATTGGTCAATTTTAACTAAATAGTCCTTTTAAATATTATGATGTCAGGGGCAAAAATGAGCAGGACAGCTCTTATTATACCATCTTCTCTTTAGTTTATTTTTTCTCTTCTTATTGCTATACCATTTGTTAAGGTTTATATAACAATGTCTGATCTAATATTTTCTTTAATGAATTATTTACAGATGGCCCACAACCTATTTATTCTACTTAAAGATTTTTAGGGTGCATTTATTTTTCTCTTTTTGTTTCTAGTCCTTTTATTTCTTGAATATGGTTTCATTCCCATTTTTATTCCTATAAAAATGATAATAAAGTTAGTAATCATTATTATCTAGACTCTTCTCTATGTCTAGAAAAAAATAGAGTTCAATAGTCTGTCTCATTTATAATGCTGTATTTTATTTGGTATATTCTTAATGTGTCTTTATTTTTTAAACTGTAAATATTAGGAATGTTTGTCATATTCAGGTTTGTGTTCCAGTTGTTCTCTCTTTAGTTCTTCATCTCCAACACCTGATTTTATTTATTAAGCAAGGTGTAATTAAATTCTAACACATAGCAATCTGCTTTTGCTTTTTCAGATTCCTGTTTTGGTCACGCAGATAAGTTCAACCAATCACCCAGTGAAAGTGGGGCTGTCTGATGCATTTGTCGTTGTCCACAGGATCCAACAAATTCCCAGTATGTAGAAGAAGGGTAATTGCAAAGTCAGAACCTGCTGTGGGGGTAAATGTAAAAGAAATTGATTTGGGCAGACGTTAACTCTTTGAACAATAGAATTACTTAGATAAGTGCTGCTTGTTAATTATATTGTTTGGTTTATAACTTTTACTGAGGTTCTCTCTCTCTCACTAATAATTTAGGTAAAGTAAAATTAGTCAAGGCAAGCCTGCATATTTTGAATTCTTTGGGATGGTTAGCTTGGTTGTGCAGATATATTTCTTTTATTAATAATAAGAAAAACATTAAAGAAAGACATTATTTGACTAAAAGGTGTATGATAGGTGTACATTTATCAGCAAAAGAGGAGCTCTGTGTCATTTTATGTTTAACATAAATATAAATTTAGGTAAATAAAAATTTTGATGGAATTATATATATTAGAGAAGATACATATTTTCTCTTCTAAATTAGTTTTGCCTACCTAGTCAACTTTGCATTTTGTAGAATAAAAACATATGTGCTATTTTGGGCAGCTATTCATCATATTAGAAGTTCAAAATGTAAGTGCTATTTGTAGTAGTCTGATGCTGTAACTAGCCATCATCTGAAAACTTCTGTTTTTTAAAACTCCTCTATTTTAAGAACAGTCCTCAGGAATGCTTGGGTATGTTCATACTAAAAGTGTCTGCTTGTTCATTTGTGTCCTAGATGTGCTTATATAAAGCAAGAGGTGATAATAAAATACATCTCAAGATTAGGTCATTTCTTTTCCTTTTATTTAAAGTTATTTTTCTTCTTTTATTTTATGACTAGAGGCCTGGCACATGAAATTCGTGTACAGGTATGGTCCTTAGGCCTGGCGCAATCAGGGCCATCTTCCCCGGCTGCCTGCAGTCAGCCCTGCCCCCAGCCACCGCCCACCCCGGTTCCCCATTCGCCATTGGGCGATACGAGCCTGCTGGCCTGGGGGACAGACTGAGAGGTTGGCTGTTCCTGCCCACTCGCCGGCCCCGCCCCCTCCACAGGTCACTCTCTGTGTGTGGGGTGACCAGCGAGGCGGGGGCCTTGGCCTGGCACTGTGTGCATCCCCCATTACCTACCTACCCTTGGTTCCCCATTTGCCATCAGGCGATGGGAGCCTGCCAGCCAGGGAAAGGGACTGAGAGGTGGTCAGTGCACCTCACAGTGACTGGCCGTGTGATCATTCTAGTCATTCCACTGTTTGAGTCAATTTGCATATTATCCTTTCATTATATAGGACTAGAGGCCCAATGCACAAATTTGTGCAAAAGTAGGCCTTCCTCTCCCCAGCTGCTGGCACCAGCTTCCCTCTGGCCACCAGCAGGCACCCAGGACCCAGGTTTCCCTCGAAGCCCCAGCTTCATCCAGAAGGCTGTCCAGAGGGATTTCCAGAATGACGTCTGGTCTAATTAACATCTTATGCTTTTATTATTATAGAGTGTTGTAGACTTAAATTATAACATGCATCTAGGGTGTTTGGTATTAACTTGAGCTGATTCTCTTAAATTATGCTATCTCTCATTAATATAAAGTAAATGGAGTGGAAATTATATTTTTTCAGAGCAGTGGGTTAGCTAAAAACATCATAGGGTTTATTTTACGAATAGAGTTTAGAATGACATTCATATATGGCAGTTCTGCGTGGGAAAGAGCATGAATTGTGGCAGTTTCTCCATGTTAGCTCAGAACTTGTGGGAGGTGGTATTCAAGGGAACTGTCAAATCAAGGCATATTTTCCAGAAACAAAACTGTACTGTGAACAAAGCAAGGATGTATTAGCACATGTAGGCAACAGGGAGACCTTCTGACTGAACTCTTAAGTCAGAAGCTGAGTCTGGGAAAGCCAACCTGACTCCTGTTGGAGGAGGACTGTTCTCTTATTCTTTCTTTCAGAAGGGTTAAATAAAGCATGACTCCAGTCAATTATTGCACGAGTAAAAGGAAACACTAGTTTTAGTTTATTTGTGGTTTCTTTTCACCCCAGAAAGAATTTTATTTGAAGCTTCTTCAGAAGCCATCTTAGATCACACATGTTCTGATATATTATAGTGTAGAGAAAAATACCCTTCAAAGTGAAAAAGAAATATCTTACAATTTTAATAATGTAATACTCAAGTTTGTGTGAGAACCTAGACATGATAAAATTGTACTTAAATAAATGATTAATTTGTCCCCAAATGCAAATTTGCATACCTTGTCTTATATAATAAAGAGGTAATATGCAAATTGACTGTCACATCCTCGCACAAGATGGCAACCCCCATGTGGTCACAAGATGGCCATCAGGGGAGGGCAGTTGTGGGTAATCAGGCCAGCAGAGGAGGGCAGTTGGGGGCAACCAGGCCTGCAAGGGAGGGCAGTTGTGGAGGGACCAGGCCTGCAGGGGAGGGCAGTTTGGGGCGACCAGGCCTGCAGGGGAGGGCAGTTGGGGGCAATCGGGCCAGCAGGGGAGCAGTTAGGAGTGATTGGGCTGGCAGGGGAGTGATTAGGGGAAATCAGGCAGGCAGGCTGGCAAGTGGTTGGGAGCCAGCAGTCCCGGATTGTGAGAGGGATGTCCGACTGCCAGTTTAGGCCTGATCTCTGTGGGATTGGGCCTAAACTGGCAGTTGGACATTTTTAAGGGGTCCCAGATTGGAGAGAGTACAGGTTGGGCTGAGGGAAAACCCCCCTCCAGTGCACGAATTTTGTGCACTGGGCCTCTAGTTATAATATAATAGGTTAATTATTATGTTTTTTGGGATAAAAATACTCTTTATAAATATAAATATAAATTTTATTGAACAAATTAGCAAAACTCATGAATTTTTAGAGCATATTATGTCTCAAGTTTGGGACTCTGCATTCATCTAAAAAAATTACTCAAGCTTTGCTTTCAAAGAAAAGCTTCCCTCAGGCAAGCTGATGCTGGAGCAACATTCACATTTTTGTTGACTTCACTGAGAAAATTAGCCAAAAAAGGGATGAAAGTTCTGAGTTTCTAATCCACTTATACCTGCCTTTAGATGGGACCATATTTCAGCAAACATACTGGAATAAATGTGTCCTACTTGAAAATCTTTTCGGGAATATAAAACTGTTAAATCTCCTTTGAAATCTGTTCCCACATTGATAAAGTGTAACAGTGTCTGTTACATGAACTTCTGTATAAGGAGAGAGATATGGTTGCATTGTAGTCTCAGCTTAAAAAAACAACATAGTGTACTTATTTACAGCAGAGATTAGGCTAACCCAAGATTAGCGTAATACAAGTTATGCAGGTATTATTTTTCCTGAGAAAATAAGATGATTCCTAGAGATCTGTTTGTTACTTATTTGTGCAATCAGAATTTAGATAAATATTTAAGTCAATTTCAAAATTATGTTCCCTTATTTAACAGCCTAGTTATTAGGAGTTTTCCTCATAGGGAATTTAAAATATCCATCTCTGTTACCTCTTTTCTTCTCCTAAGTGAATTTAGGGAAAAACTGATCATTATCCTCAGTAATAGGCGGTTTCATTTCTTCTGCATTTCATGCTCCATTACGTAAGACTTGGTTCTCATAAGATCAATTTTCTGTTCTTTTACTCACTTTGGTTACATAGGATATAGAATCTAGATCCTTGGCTTAATCTAGCCATGGCAACATGGGAATACGAGTTACAATTTTGAGAACAATTTTCCCAGAGGGACCATAGTTGCTATATCTTTTTAATTAGATTTGGTGAATGTTTGGTAAAGCATTCAAAAATCTATAAGGTAAGCTTAATTTATTTATTATAAAGTTCCCCCCACCCCTTCCTCATAACATCATCAACAACAAAAAGGTGTTTTTCCATTTTTAAAAGCTTCCTAATGGTAAATGATTTTAATGTAACTTCCAAGTATAATTAATTAAGGTAGCCTTTATCTTTCCAAGAAGGTCAGGTGGTCTGATAGTTTAAAATATCAAAGGGATTCAGGCATTGTTAGTAAATGAGTAAGGAGTTCTGAGGTTACAAGGGAAATTCCTTGGCTCCTTCAAAAAAAATGAAAAAAGTCTATGGTGAAATTAACCCTTATATTTTAAAAAATAAAATTTAATTAAAAGTCCAGAAAGCATAAGGAACATTGTAAGTGTGATTACTGGTCATGAGACCTTAGGCATTTTGTTTAATTTCTATAATACAAAATACAAAATGAAATGTGTCTATAGCATGCAGTACCTGGCACAATGTAAGCAGTATACATATTTACTATCCATCATCATCTACATTATTAAGTTAAAATGACAGTGATGCTAGGATGACCACACCTAGGCCAAGGACTCCTTGAGTGGGTCCACAGGGGATTTCCACTAAAAAACTCCTTGACTTTCTCTCAATGAAGCTCATTATTTCTGACTTTAACCTCTTTTATTTATTTGTTTTCTTGTTGTCTGTGTGTACCCATCTCTGCATTACCTTTTGATTTACATAAACTATTTTATAGAAATTTAGAGACAGAAAGAACCACAAAGATCAGTGGATTCATTCTCCACAGGTACAGGAATGAAAAACAGGTCTGCATACAATGACTTTTGTAACTTATTACAAAAATATGAGTATAAAAATATATTTATGATTTTAAGCATAGTGCACATTAATTCAGAGGAATTTGTAAAGTAACAGAAAACGCAAAGAAGAAAATTTAAATTGCTTATAAATCTATTACTGCAAAAAGATAGAAATGTTTCAATGTATCTGCATCTAATATTTTGTTTACAGTATACACACACACACACACACACACACACACACTAATTAAATTAGCATTATGCTATAAATACCTGTTTCCCATAATTTATACAACACATTTTTTGTTTATACATTGCCAAGTTCCTATCTAAAATGTGGTCATTAATAGCTGCAGCAAATTCCTTTGTTTCATAATTTATGTGACCTGTCTCAACACTGGCTTGCCATGTAGGTTGCTTTTTGTGTTAATCTACACTAATAAAAGAGAAACATGCAAATTGGTGTCACTCCACTACACCCACAA